CGCAAGGTAGCGGATAGGCATCTTTGACTGTCAGTTTGTTCAACTTGCGGGCATCGAGGCAAAAGCGGTTCTTGCCCGGCCGTCGCACTATGGTGGTGCGGTTACTCCACGGACTATCGCTTACCTCGATGACGCCAAGCGCCAGCATGCTGTCCACCTCATCCCACACAATCTTCTGCATAGCGGGTGATAGAGGGTAGTGCCTGTCTTTCACTGGCTCTGCTCCGCTGACCAATTCAATTCGGTGAGTCTCCAAAGTAGTCTTGCCTAATCCCGCTTCTTCGAAGGTTAAAAATTCTTTTTTTACTTGTTCCAATTGCAGCTTTTGTTGTTCATTCAATTTCCACATATCTGGGTCAGGCCTTACTTCATCCTGGTCCGCATAATGCGCCACTCTATCAGCTAGCAATTCATCGAGGACAAGTCTTTTAACGTCTGGCTTTTCCGGAGGAATTGATAGTGGTGCCAAATTAAACAGCCGCCAAAAGTCGATGCCGAAATACGCGTTCTGTTCGAGTGATGGGCATACGTAAAATTCCACTTCTTTGGCCTCTTCTCGATACACCACTGGTAAACGCACTCGCCCAATTACGGCTCTGTCTTCACCGCCTGCTGTTTTAATTATCGAAATGTAATTTCTGGGCACCATGCCAATCTCTTTCAGCAGTTCCAGACTGCCCTTGCCTAGCACGCTTACCGAGGCCCCGGTATCCAGCAAACCGCGTAGCACATGGCCTCGTACCAGTACTTCGGCAAAAATCCTCGGATCTGCTGCTCCTTCGCGTCGCACTGCCTCGGCTACCAGCTTCTTCGTCTGCCTTCTCACTCGGAATCGTGCTCGGGCCTTTTTAACTTTGGCTGTCACCATCCTCATCCCATCTAACTGATGTTGGGCAAAAATTCTATTACGCGCCTCCAGATATGCCCGCATCTTTTCCTCGTACGGTAAAAATTTCAACTTATTACTATATGGGGTATTTTTCTTATGAAATTCTTCTTTCAGGACCGCTCCGCTGTCATCCTGGTGGGCACCTGTGTCGAGCGCGATTCGCCCACTTGCTCCGCACTCCGACGGCCGTTTCCCGTGCAATCGGGACAGGTTGGACTATAGGTGTCGGGCCTGCCACACCTATAACAGAAGACGCGCCTTTCCGGTGACATGCAGTCGCGGAAACTATGGCCGGCTTGTCTGCAGTTCCAGCAAACTAACGCCTGTTGCGGACGCCTTGCCAAACGCGCCTCTTCAACTACGCCGAAATCCGCCGACTCCTCGCCGTTAGTGTCGTCGACCAACTCCTCCACTGCCGGTGGACGGTTTCCGCCACTAAAACGTGTGCCGCTGCGTGTTGGGAACACGCCTTCTCGCCGCTGGACCATAGCTTCCACCTCTACGCATTCGTCACGTAAGTGGTCTACCGTGTACACGCGCATCGCATACACATAACGAGGTAGTTCTATTTTTAATCCTTTTTTTATATATTTCATCATCTCGTTTTCAGATGGTGCTGTGTGGAGACGCGACGCCAGTTTCCTCATGGCATGGAAGTACTCCTCAACGCTTTCGCTTGCCTTCTGCCGTCTTTCGCGCAATTGACGCATGCGCTCGAATTCATCGGCGGCGCCTTTAAAACGGGACAGCATGCTTCGTTTTAGTTCTGGCCAGCTGTCTGCCCGGTGGTCCCTGACGTACTGCCAGTACCACTCGCGAGCGTGCCCAGTTACTAACAGATGGAAACTGTTTAATACTTCGGACCATGCGCAGCGACACTGCCTCTGAAGGAACTCGACCTGGAAAACGAAGTCTTCAACAGCCATTTTTTCCTTATCGCCGCTGAAAACGATGTCCCACTTTTCGACGCGGCACCATCCGGATCTGCCATTCGCCGCTACATACGGAGGAGGCGGGTCCAGCTGACCACTCCCATCGTTACGCCTGTTGCCTCTTCGACGGGCCGACGGTGCTGCGGGATTTTGCCAATTTCGAGCTGTGCTGCTGCTATTGCCAGCTCCACTGGAGGAATTAGCTGCCGCTGGCCTTGCTACTGGACGCGAAGTTCCTCTTGCTGGTGTTAGAGGTTCAGCCTGGTATTGATGCGGCCGTTTTGGCACCGCACCCCGATTCTGGCTGACTGGCGGTTGCCATGCTCCATTTGCAGCTGAATCGCCGCTATTCGCTCGCGGTTGCAAAACTTCTTTCAACGCGCCCATCAAGTCTTGAAACCCCATTCGGATTTCCTCCTGCAACACTTTGTTGATGCCCTCTTTTTGCGATTGGCGGTATGTTTCGTTCGCCTGGGCCACTGCTGCTTCTACCACCGACGCGACTACTGGCTCGGCGTCCCAGTGTACTGCTGGTGCTATGGACGGCCTCGGAGGAGTGTGCATGAGGCCACCGGTGGAAAAACCTACGGCTCCTTCTAGGTGTTCCTCCAGCACTGGATCATCATTTCTGGCCGTTCTCGACCTGGTGTTATACGCACGCGCAGAATCCTTTTCCATCTCAATCCAAAAAAAATACGCTCTGTTTTTTTATAATATTTATTTATATTTTGGATTGTGAATTTGTTCAGCTTTCAAGCAGGCCCCGAAGAAAAAATCGTATTAATTGGATAATTGTATATATGTATTCCAAACAATGAAAATGTTTGCAAACGCCCAAAACAACAAAAACAAATGGGCAAGAAAATATATGTACGCTGAATATGTATGATGGATAAATAAATAAATAGGTACAACAATAAATAGATAAATATGTGAATTGGAATAAATAAATATGAATATAGTAGTAAAAATAAAAAAACAAATCTTTAAATAAATTCACGTCCAACTTTGCACGGAAACCAAAAAAAAATATATACGCTCAACCACAAGACAAATGTAACATATGTATATGCACCAAACGTAACCAAAAAGACCTAATAAAATGTAAGCAATAAACAAACAAATTTTCTTTTAAACTTCTGTATATAGGGGCTGAGACTCACACTCAGCCGGAACCCAAACACGGCTCCTATAATATCTACGCCTGTACAGCTGCCCTACGCCACAATCCTGCAATATCTGTTCGCTGCTACATTTATCGCCTTGACGGCGATGAACGACAGCCAACAAATTAAATGGTTGCTTCTTGACACCCAATTCTGTTTTGTGCACCATCTGCTCTGGCTCACCGTGCGTAGCGGTGCATCGCAGGCGACTTTCCTAGTCATCCTGGGCCACCGGTACTCTACGTCCACCAGGCAAACACGATGACACCACAGCGACAGTGCACCAACGAATTGACGCAAGAAATACAACAAAAACACTGAAACGAAATAACAAAAAAAACGCGCATTGGAATCCCCCCATAGTACCCCTTGCCTAGCGTCGTTCCAAATGGCAGTCGCAAACGAAGGGCTCATACTCGCTCCTTCGTGACTTACTGTCCATGTCACACACGCTTGCAGTTGGTGCTATAAGGGATTCCGTCCCTACCATACCGATCGTCGGCCCCTAGCCATCGGCTTAATTTTTTTTTTTCCTATCTAAATTCTCCGCCTGCGTACGGCGGCTGCCTAGACTCCTCCCCAAAAGTGGTACAGGGCCCTAAACAACTCCACCTACTCCTTGGCATTAAAAATTCAAACATCCAAAATTGGGCGCCATATTGTTACGACTACGCTTTTCCTCTTGGGCAACGCCGGCTGGCTCATCGGAATTCTCCTTGGGTGTGTGGTTCCAACCCTATGCCCGCGTGAGTCGTACAATAACCGATAACACGGTTCCTCCATCGATAAACAAAATGCCATCACTACAATAAATTCGACGCGCAATATACAAAACCGAATTCAAAACGTAAACAAACCAAAAAAAACTAACATAAACTAAAAGAACCGTAATGCGACAAAAAAACAAATAAACGGATAACTCCCTCAAGCCATCCGTACGAATACGGGTGACTGTAAAAGGAGATTATATACGTGCCCACGGACAGAAATTGTGGCATCGGACAACTGTGTGGGATTTTGCTGTTGTTATCCCAGGCGTACCCACCCTGCCTGTATCCAAAGGCAAAATGTTTCTTGGATACCCTTTATTTGGGCCGTGCTTGGGCTATTCCATGGCAAAGGTGAGTCTCCCGCCCCTACTGATGCTGCTTTAATGCATCATCACCAACGGTGCGACCATTAAAATTAACAATTAATTTTCAGTTTATGTGGCTACAAACATACATATATTTCAGTGTGATTGAGTGTGAGTGCAAACAATGTAAACATGGAACACGAATTTTTATATAAAAACAAAATAAAGAAGGCTTGCCAACGGCCAATGCGGTTCTTTATGTGCGCCAACATGCCAACATGCCATAAACATGGCAAATAAATATAGATATATGTGTATGTGTATAAAAAAAATATGCGCGGTACTAAAAAATTATAGAAAAATGTCTAACCAAATCCTAACGAGAGCTCTCGACGGTCATGGGCGCAATAGAAATATAAGACTAATATAAAACACTGCGCGCTACTGCAATTGGCAATCTTCGTACAATATAAGTGTATAAGAGTGTGAATTTTTTATTAATTAAATAGAGCGCCAAGCTCTGTCTAGGTGCCACTTTCTGCCTCGTTTTGGTTTTAATGATCTATGTATATATATTTTGTTTTATCTTCTTTTTTTTTCTCTTTTGCAGAAACTTCAATGGGGCGGCGTGTGGGACCCTGCAGGCGCAGCCCATACAAAACGACACGACGTAAGGCGCGCGGGATCTCTGCCTGATGTTGCTGCTCAACCGCGAACAATAGGCACGGCGCGTGGCCAAGGAACGGACTCACCGGCTTTCTATCCTCCGCTGCTGATGGCGCAGACGGACGTGTCTGCTGTTGCGTTGTGGTGGCGCCGCTATTGCTGCTGCTACTTCTCGGGTGGGCGCCTTTGCTCCGGCTGCCACTGTCGTTGCTGCTGCTGCCGTTGAAGACGCTGGTGCTGGATCTGCTGCTGTCGTTGTTGCTCCTGCTACGATGCAGCTCGTGCTGCTACTTATGACGGCCGCTGCAGCTGCTGTGTATGGTTCCACCGCTGTCCGAAAACTTGGCGATATGCCGGAAAATCTATATGCCAAGGAACAAAAGGCATTTAAGCACTGGTCGGCACATTTAAGTGGATATACAGGTATGTATACATCGGCATTAGTTCTGCCTTGCATCTATATCCTTATGCTCACCTTCGAACGGCTTCTGGTTCTTCCTTTCCTTTTTCAGGTTTCAGCACGGCCTCCAGTTCACCAAAAGAAAACACTGCCTCGTGGGTCTGCACCGTCGCCCCAAAAACAGGAATGGCGTGTTGCGGCTTGCCTTTTATAGGCCGGATGTCGTATGCCTGCGGATTTTTACGTCCTTGCGCATCCGTTCATCACGGCCTTGACGTTTCCCCACTTTGAGGTGCCATCGGGACACAACCCTGCGCCTGCGTGGCTGCAGTTGCCACCATGGTGCCTCGCTCGGTACCGCTAGATGGCGCTGCAGTACCTTTATAAATTCTTGGCGCCTTCCGTAGCGCTGCCACCTTTTATTCTTCGTGACCAGCCCGATGCAACAATATTAGGGTTGCAATTTTTAAATCAAATTTAAATGTCCCGTGCTGGACAGGCTCAGTCCCGCTTTATTTACTCTGAGAAAGAATACAAGATAAACTGCGTTGTATTTTTGTAACTTTTCATTAAAGAGTAGAAGAAATAATTATAATACATACATATATACAGTGCTGCCATTTAATTTAATAAAAAGCTGTTTTTAACTGGAAGAAAGTGCAAAAAAAAAGGAAAATTTACAGAAAAAAACCTAAAAAAGCGGTTATGGTTTTACCAATTTTTTTGTTCTAAGGTGATATTTACATTAACTCATTCAGATCCGCGAGGTTCGCATTCGTTCGAAATGGCCGTACCAATCCTGCGTAAATAAACTTTTATTTATTTATTTTGTGTTATTTTGAATCATGGTAATTGGAATAAAGTCAAACAGTTTTAAATCAAAACCGTGTAATAACAGAATTAGGTGTATTCCTTTGTAATTTTACAAATACACCTAATTCTGTTTTTACACAGTAGATTGGTTCCAGAAAAAACCTTGTAAAAAAAGACATTGATCATATGCAAAAATAGATGATTGGTTCTTTATCTCTAAAGAAATATATATGCCATTTTTAATTTTCAAACCGTGTTAAACCAAAACCGTGTAAAAACATAATTATATGTATTCTATTATCATTTTACAAATACATATGTAATTATTGGCACCCACTTTTGGTATTGAGATGATAATTTGCCTTAAGCTAGTGAGAATATCGATCAAAATAATGTTGAACCTGCCAGTTTTGTATAGTTTTTATGTTACCGGTGGAAAAATTAAAAAGGCGGGAAAAAAGCCAAACACATTTCTGAAAAAATCCAGAATTCCCGCTTCCTACAATTCCCAATTTTTTCACGCAACCGGCTTTGTAACACAGCCAGATTTGACGGAGAAAATGTGAAATTGGCAGCCCTGGTTCTGGGTATACCTTTGCTGAAAAATAAATATAACAATATTATCGATTGTGTCATCGATAGTGCAGTTTTTATTAATACTGATATTAGTACGCCCATATCTATTGTTTTAGAACACAAGCACAAATAGTAGGATATTTTTATTGCTTGACAAATATGAGTGGGCTTGAATGGAAAAAAATAGACCTTATCGATTTAGTCCTTCTACCCAGACACAGAATCCAGAACATAAAAACTGAAATAGTTGCTCAATGTAGCAATGGAGAGAAGTTTGACAACAAAGGAAGCAACACAACAGTTTTTTGTGGAAAAAATGGAATGATTCACGTTTTCTTTCGCAACTGGGAATACATAACTTTTAAAAGTCAATCAAGGAATGAAGCGCCCATTAAATTTTGCGCACTTACTACAATGGACGTGCTTGCGACAGTAACACAGGAAAACAATTGTTCTGTTTGTATCCAAGTATATGATTTGAGGAAGTTGACTAAAAGGGAAGGGACACCACACCTTGCTACAACAAATTTGTCTCCAGACAGTGCTGTTACTTCGATCCAGGCTGAATGTTCTGAGGATGGAAAATTGTTGGCCTTAGGCATCGGCTTTGAAAATGGTGAATTGCTTTTACACTATGGTACAGTAAATTCTATAAACTTTCAGCGCCATGTTATTTGCTTACGCCCAATAATCGGAATACAGTTCGAAATGTTGCGACATCAGTCCGACCACGGAGGGCTTATTTGCAATATGTTCTTGGATTGTATTGACAAAATATTTTGTTATTTGCTTCACGAAAAGGGATTAGTGCATAAAAATCCAATATTGGATGAAAGAACTAGCAAACATAATCATTCCTCCACAATGCATAAGCCAAAAGGAGCAGATGAAGCATATTTTGTTGTTGGTCGCGATGATGCTATATACTGTTTTACCAAAGATGAAAAAGGACCTTGTTATGCAATCGAAGGACAAAAAACCAATATTTTGTGGGTAGACAATCTTATGGTGGTCCTCTTGAAGAATAAGAAAAACATTTTTACACCCCTATCTTCTTGTGTCATAACAGTTGTGGATATTGAAAACAAAATAATCATTTTTAATAGAGAAATTAAAAATGTTTTGTGTATTACTGCAGGGATTGCCTCTTTTTACATTATAACAAAGGATTCAAGTGGTTGCACATATAATATTTATATATTGCAAGAGCTCAATACAGTCAACGTGATACGACTGCTCACTGAAAAACATATGTATGATATAGCGCTTCGTATATTGGATAGGAAGGGACTTGGCGATTCCCCAGTTACTGCCCAAGTACGTTTTCAATATGGCAATCATTTATACTCGATTGGCGAAGTTTGTAGGGCGGCTTCAGAATATGAAAAAACAATTGGCACCATTAAACCATATAATGTAATTTCGAAACTTTTGTCTGTGCGAAATAATAAGCACCTTATGTTATATTTGAAAAAGTTGGTGGTCAGTGAGCACGCTACAAATGAACACAGAAAGCTACTTTGTAATTGTACTGATCGTAACAAAATACATTTTAATGTTCACGAATTATGTCGCTTACAGTTCAATACCTCCAGCCAAAATATATTACATTTAGGCGCCTCTAAAAATATAGCCATAAGAGGGGACAGTTCCTTTAAAATGTCAAATATAGAGCTGCAAATGGGAGAGAATGGAGATCTGCCACAATTATTCTTGGACAGCGATGAAATGAAAATCTTGGAATTATTTGCAGATACTGCAGAGGATCTTTTAACTAACCATTCTGAACATATTTTAAAAGTTGCATTATCATTGATGGCAAATGGAAGGATTACCGATACACTTCGTTTTCTTACGCTTTTTCCGGACCACCCCGAGTTTTGTTCAAATGTTTTATCTAATGTTATAGAGCACGATCCCAATTGCAATGAAAAATATTATTATTATTTACTTGTTCTTTATCTTGGTCTCTGGCGTGATAAAAAAAGGACAGAAAAATTCATTCTTCAATTTCTGAAAAATAGTCCGTTAAGAACAGAAAAAGCTATGGTTTTATGCAAGATGTACTTGTTTTCAGTGGGAATAAAACAGTTTCTAAATGGTAATAATGAAACATTTTCATCCATTTGTGCAGAAGAAAATATAAGGAAATGTATTAATTATCTTATTAAAGGTAATTCTGACTTTAAAACTCCATTGAAAAAGGATCCAAGTTCGTTGCTATTCGTACTGCAGAGTATCTTTCACAATGCAGACATACAGGTATTACATCTGAGACCGCTGCTAATGGAAGAAAGTATGAAAAATGTTATAGATCCATGTGACGAGGCGCAATGCGTTGTTGACCTCAACAAGGCCATAGAAAAGTACCATAGCCTTTTAGTTCAACTAGAGGAAAGTCCGATTGAATTTCGCAACACGTCCTGTGAAAAGTGTCATCAGGTGTGGAAGTTACCGTCTCTTTATTTTATTTGTCAGCATTCTTTTCATAAGGACTGTTATACTACTAATAAAACATCAAAATGTGATATATGTATTACTAATACAGAACACTCTGTAAAATTAATGCCTACAATAAGCTTGGAAGCTGGCGACATAGTTTTAGATATTTCAAAAATACTTGCATTCGGAATTTTTAACTAGACTGTTTCATTGATAATCAATATATTAAACTGAGAAATAAACGAAAAAACGTACATATGTTTATTATTTCAAACTAATTAATTTTAATCAAACCATCATGGAATGATAGAGTCGAGTGGGCCCAATCCTAAGTCCAAACAAACCAAAAACTGAACAAGAATGAAATGCTGTTATTCTTAGAATTATAAACTGAAAATGTGGCAACTAAATCCAGTTAGCCCTCACGTATCCTCGTGTTGAGTTTCATTATAAGTTATTTATAGCTATCTGTGCTATATACATATATATAGTGCTGGCCGCAGCTGTCGTTGTTGCTGCTTTGGTTAAACTCTGTACTGCATGCAGACTCAGACAATGTGTATGTGCAATTATACGTGAGTTCGAATAACAAAAGACGTAAAATCGATACATTTTTATACTCTGTACATGAAATGTACAGAAGTATATTAGGTTTGCGGGAGCTGAAAAATGTAACAGGGAGAAGGAGGCGTGGCAGACCCCACAAAGTATATATATTCTTGATCAGCATGACGAGACGAGTCGATCTAGCCCTGTCTGTCCGTCCGTATGAACACCTATTCTATACGAGTTTGTTTTATTTTTTTTATTTTCCCCCCAACTTCCCCCCTATGGGGGTTTTCCCGATTTTCCATTCGTATAATCGCCTATATCTAAGAGACTATAAGACCTACGGACACCAAATTTTAGTCCCAGATGCCTTATGAGAATACGCAGAAAATTTGTATTTTGGAATTTCCCTCCCTCCTCCCTCTCCCCCACAAATCGCGATTTTCTCTAACTCCCGTAATTCTTGGAATTTCGAAAGAATTTTGCAAATGCCTTTAGTTAGTTATTATGTGTCCGTATGCCAAGTTTCACTATGATAGACCGATTTAACAAGAAGTTATAGCCATAAATATATTTGCTGCTATTGTTGATGTTGCTGTTTGGTTGACTGCGAAAATGCTTACACAGACACGAATATACGAGCATAAACATTCATACACGTGAGTTCGAATACCAAAAGAGGTAAAATGGATCAAATTTTTTTTTGTTAATTCTCTTACTTTTTTAATTTCTATAATTATTCTAAACATATATACAGAGTACTTCAAAGTCGGGACACCCGACTTTAGCTTTTTTACTTGTTTTAAATTTCAAATATTCTACGCATATGTATACAGCATTCAAAGTCGGAGCACCAGACTAGCTTTCCCACAAAGGGTAAAAAGCTGTATTAATTTTGTGCGAATGTAAGTAACACACAGAAGGGGGCGTGGCAGACCCCACAAAGTAAATATATTATTGATCAGGATGACAAGTCGAGTCGATATAGCCGTCTCCGTCTGTATGAACGCAAGGATCTCAGCAAGTGCCAGAGCAAGAATAACCAAACTTGGTATCCAGATTCTCCTTAGTCCGAGGAAGAAAGAGTTTGTGTTTTTATTCTGATACACCCCCCACTTCTCCGCCATTTGTATTTTCCTTAACTCCCGTAGTTTTTGGAATTTTGTACTCAGATTTGGCAAATAATTCCAGAATCCCAGTTAGTGATTATGTGTGCGTATTCTAAGTTTCATTAGGATAGGTTAATTAAAACGAAAGTTATAGCCATAAATATTTTCCATGCTGAAGCTCTGCCCACAGCTGTTGTTATTGCTTCACTTGTGCAAGAATGTATTAAATATTTTTATTATTATTGTTAATTCCACTTATAATTGAAAATTGCAAGCAGCTTATGATTTAAGCTGTAGCAGCTAAGGCCTTAAGCTTATGAGTATCAACTTATTTACTACGTGTTTACTTAAATCTAGATTTATTTACATTTTTATTTGTATTATATCAAGTGGTACAGATTCGCAGATTTATGGAAAGCAATTGTTTGATGAATGTTTTTGGGTGAAGTTATTTTTTCTATTGTTGTTTCCAGGAATTTGGTTCTTTCTTGTTGCAGTTTGGTACAGTCTAAAAGTATATGGTTGATGGTTATTCTGGTGTTGCAATTTGGGCATGTGGGTGGTGGGGATTTATTTAGGATAAGACTGTGGGTAAGGTTTGTGTATCCGAGTCGGAGTCGCAAAAATTTTATTGTGTCTAGTCGTGATAAGTTCGAGCTTAGTATTTGTTTGTTGTTTGTAGTTTTCTCAGAGTTGACAATTTTATAATGTTGGGAGGTGTGGTTCCATAGCGTGTTGCTGTGGTTATTCAGTTCTTGTTTGATGTGTTTTTGTATGTCTGATGCGTTGAAGTTCTGTTCTGTTTTAAGTGGGTGTTTAAGAGCATTTTTTGCGATTTTATCTGCCATTTCGTTTCCTGATATTTGACAGTGTCCTGGAACCCAGATAAGTAGGAATTTGTTTTTGTATGAGCTCAAGATATTTCTTATTGTAGTTGAGTAGTAGTTTTGGTTATTAATATTGTCTATTGCTATTAAAGAGCATATGGAGTCAGAACAGATTGCAAATTTACCAGTTTGTTTGGCTGCATATTTGCATGCTGCGAGTATGGCTGAGATTTCGTAGTTGTTGGTAGGTGATGGTTTCCGTCGGCGTTCTTACTATAGGATACTCCGGCCGTCAATTTGGACCCGTCTAGGAATAGGAATAAGAATTGTCGGTAATTTAGAGATTCTTTGAGTTCATAAAAATTTTGTTGGCATTCAACTGGTTGGGTGTCTTTTTTTTGGAGATTAAGGTGTAATGTCATGTTAATGTATTTGTGATGGAGTTGTTTGTTTTGAGTTTTTTACAGGTGAAATTTCAATTTGTAGTTTTTGGCATTAGGTTATTGTGTCTTTTAGTGATGATGGGATTTTAGCTGCTTTTTATTTTTCTTCAATTTGTTGTATATTTTTTCTAAAGGGGAGTTTTTTGCTGTCATGATGGCTTTAAAGTTTTTAAGTGTAGCGTGGATTGTTCTGGATTCTATTGGTTGAATGTTTGTTTTGTGCAGTAGGTTATTGATTGGAGTGGTTGGAAATGCACCAGTTGCTAAGCGCCATGCCGAGTGGTATATTGTCTTTAGTTTGCTGAGTGTTGATTTAGGTGCTCTTCCATATAGGAAAAGGCCGTAATCTATTTTGGATAGTATCAAGGCTTTGATTGTGTTTATTGCTATGGTGGTGTGGCAGTTAAATCTTTTGCTTGATAGGCATTTAATAATATTCAGTCTGTTTGTGAGTTGTAGTACGAGATGTTCTATGTGTAGATTCCATTTATAGTTTTTTGCGAATGTGACTCCTAATATTTTGAGATAGTTTTCATTTTTTAATGTGAAGTTGTTGGATTGAAATTGAAATGTGCATTCTTTTTTCCGGCAAATATGGAGATGTTTGCATGTGGTGATAGAGAGTGATGCACCTGAGTAGTTGCACCATTTTATTATGTCAGCGAAAAGATTGTCAATATTGAGGGAGTTTTGGATTCTGTGGATTTTTTTGACTATTGTGTAATCGTCAGCGTAGGCGGAAGTTTTTAAGCATAGGGTAACTAATGCGATCTCTTCCAGGTGTTTTCCCTTTAAGTTGGTTAAGTGCAGCTTTAAGCTCAAGAAGAGTCACATCGTTTTCGAGTTTCATGGCTACAGGTGATGGAGTGAGGGTTATAGTATGGCAGGAGTTTACTTTGTGGCATCTAAATTCTCGGTGGAAGTTGTTGTCTGAGGATGCGGTTGACCAATATTCGCATAAAGTATTGGCTCTTTCGGTTTTGTTTACTATTGTTTGTGTGGGGTTGTTCGGATTAATAAGGCAGTGGATTCCGTGACGGGTATTTAGGCCACAAAATCTGTTGATGTTGGACCAGATTTTCGATGTGGATGGATTTATTTCTGCTGTAAATGTTTGCACCGCGTTTCGTTTTTATACTCTGTACATGAAATGTACAGAAGTATATTAGGTTTGCGGGAGCTGAAAAATGTAACAGGGAGAAGGAGGCGTGGCAGAGCCCACAAAGTATATATATTTTTGATCAGCATGACGAGACGAGTCGATCTAGCCCTGTCTGTCCGTCTGTCCGTCCGTATGAACACCTGGATCTCAGAGACTATAAGAGATAGAGACGCCAAATTTTCCACAAAGATGCCTTATGTGTGTATTCTATACGAGTTTGTTTTATTTTTTTGATTTTCCTCCCCCCCACTTCCCCCCTATGGGGGTTTTCCCGATTTTCCATTCGTATAATCGCCTATATATCGGAGACTATAAAACCTAGGAACACCAAATTTTAGTCCAAGATGCCTTGTGTGAATACGCAGAAAATGTATATTTTGGAATTTCCCTCCCTCCCCCCTCTCCCCCGCAAATGCGATTTTTTCTAACTCCCGTAATTCTTGGAATTTCGAACTAAAATTTTGCAAATGCCCCCAGTTAACGAGAAGTTATAGCCATAAATATATTTGCTGCTGCATCGCTGCGCAAGCGCTGCCCGCGGCTGTTGTTGATGCTGGTGCTTTGGTTAACTGCACACATGTTTACACAGACACGAATAGGTGCGCATAGGCATACATACACTCACACAGACGCAATTGCTATGTAAATGTGCAATTATAAACGTTTTACGTGAGTTCGAATACCAAGAGAGGTAAAATCGATCAAATTTTTAATTTAATTTTTGTATTTTCTATAATTATTGTAAACATATGTACAGAGTATTTCAAAGTCGGGACACCCGACTTTAGCTTTTTTACTTGTTTGCCAATAGTATACTGTGTATAACTGTATATACATTTCAGGGGTATATATTTTTCTGGACATAGTCCAATTATACATTTATACCCTTTTAATCTTGTCCAAACATTTAAAGACTTGTTACAAACATGCCGTCAAAATTGATGATTTGGAGTCGAGTAAGTTCGATGCATTATTGCAATCACACAAATAATGTTAGAGACATAGACCGTATAAAAGATTCCGTGCAAAATGCCACTAAGCCCATTGAGTCAGTTGAATTGGAGTGCCGGTTGAAAATTTTAACCAGATATATTGACAGAGCGTTCAATCGGCAGGAAGAGTGGGATCAAATCGATCCGGCCTTAGCCTCAAGAGCAGATTTAG